CCCTCCCCTCCCCCAGCTATAAATATGTATGTACGACCCCTCCCCTGTAAATACCCCTCCCCAGGCCCCCCCAACCCCCCCCCAGGCCCCCCCAGGAGCCCCCCAGGCCCCCCCAAAATCCCGGGTTTATCCCGACACGGCGACAATCGGGGACCCCAAAGGGGGGCCTGGGGAGGGGTCGGGGGGGAAGGGGAGGGGTCTGGGGGGGGCAGGGGGGGGAACTGGGTGTTCCTACCCCCCCCTCCATCCCATAATAACCCCCCCGGGGGTGTCTGATATATATATTATATATAATAGAGCCGAGACCCAGCGGGTGTTGTTGGAAGGTGGAAAATCCCGTTTGTTCTTTTCCTTCTTTTGCTCAGGAAAGGGGTTGGGTTTTCCTGGGCTGGGGTGGGTGTGTGTGTGTGTGTGGTGAGGGGGGGGGTTGTTAATTTATTTTCCAAGAAAAGGTCGAAGTGGGGCCCCAAATTCCTGCCCCTGGGATTTGGGAAAAGGGGATCTTGGAGCTGGTGGGGAGGGATGTGGGAATGGGATGGGAAGTGTCCCCTCCCAGGTGTCCTCAGTGCCACATCCCGGTGTCCCTGCTGTCCAATTCCCGGTGTCCGTGGTGCCACATGCCAGGTTTTCCTGGTGCCACATGCCAGGTTTTCCTGGTGCCACATCCCAGGTGTCCCTGCTGTCCCGTTCCCACTGTCACAGGGTGCAGATCTGTCCCATTCCTGCTGTCCAAGGTGCAGATCTGTCCCATTCCCGCTGTTCCCACTGTCACAAGGTGCAGATTATCCCGTTCCTGCTCTTCCCACTGTCACAAGGTGAAGATCTCATCCTCTGTGTCCCTCAGCGCGGCCGCCCGGGGGGTCCTGGTGAGGGGTCGTGGGCCCAGCCGGGGCCCTTCCCGGGGGGACGAGGGACCCTCTGGGATCCTCTGGGATGCTCCAGAATCACCGGAGCTGTGGGGACACAGCGGTGACACCCTGGACCCCCCAGCCCTGTCCCCATCCCATCCACATCTGCATCCTCATCCCATCCCATCCCAGTCTTTGTCCCTGTCCCACCCTTATCCTGTCCCATCCCATCCTGGACCCTGTCCTTGTCCTGTCCTGTCTCTGTCTTCATCTCCCATCCCATCCCATCCCTGTCTTTGTCCCTGTCCCCACCCTGATCCCCTCCCAGTTCTTGTTCCCATCCTTATCCTGGTCCCCATCCCATCCCTTGGCTCTCTCCTCATCCCATCCTTGTCCCATCCTGTCCTTATCCTGGTCCCCCATCCCATCCTGTCCTAATCTCTGTCCTTGTCCCATCCCTGCCCTGTTGTGTCATCGTCCCTGTCCCATCCCATCCCATCCCATCCCATCCCATCCCATCCCATCCCATCCCATTCCATCCCCATCCCATCCCATCCCCATTCCATCCCCATCCCATCCCATCCCCATCCCATCCCACCCCATCCCACCCCATTCCATCCCCATCCCATCCCATCCCCATCCCATCCCACCCCATCCCACCCCATCCCGGTGCTCACGGGGGGTGCCGGTGCCGGATCTGCAGCGCCGCTGCCTCCTTGGAGCGCCCGATCTCGCGGTCCAGGCGCCGCAGGAATTCCATGGCCGACAGGTCGTGCCGGGACGGCGCCGGCGGAGGCTCCGGAGGGTCGGGAATGTCCCGGGGCTCGTCCCCCGCGAGGGGCTGGGCCGGGGATCCCGCCGGGATGAGCAGGGTGGGCTTCAGGAAGATGGTGTCGGACGTGTAGAGGCGGTTGGCGCGTTGGATCTGCTCCACCTGGCCGGGACGGGGGCGGGGATGGGGATGGGGACAGGGATGGGGTCGGGACAGGGACAAGGGTGGGAATGGGATGAGGATGGAGATGTGGATGGGGTGGGGACAGGGATGGGGACCAGGACAGGGATGGGGACCGGAATTGGATAAAGGGCAGGACAGGGACGGGATGAGACAGGGATGGGGACCAGGACAGGGATGGGGACAGGGATGGGATAAGGACAGGGATGGGATGAGGATGGAACAAGGATGGGGACCAGGACAGGGATGGGGACAGGGACGGGATAAGGACAGGGATGTGCACAGGGACGAGGACAGTGTTGGGATGAGGACGGAACAGGGACGGGGGGCAGGACAGGGATGAGTGAGGGCCAGAAGGGAACCAGCCCCGGACTGACCCCCGTAGCCCGCAGGGACACCCCGAGCCGTCCCCCCGTTCCGCCGCCCCCCGCGTCCCCCCGCCCCGCTCACCGTGACCCCGTAGCGCAGCGCCAGCCCCGCCAGGGTGTCCCCGGGCTGCAGGCGGTGCTCCCGGGGGGCCGCCCCGGCCCCGCCGCTCCCCGCCATGGCTCGGGGGGGGTCCCGGCCCGGGGGGTCCCTCGGGGGGTCCCGGCCCGGCCCCGCCGCTCCCTCAGCCCCGGGCCCGGCCGCGCCGCCGCGGGGCCTGTGGGAGTTGTAGTCCTGAAGGGACACCCTCCCCCTTTACCCCCATGGGCGGAGCCATGCGGAAAAACTACAACTCCCAGCATGCCGCGGGGCGCTCTCTGATTGGTCGCTGCCCTCCCCGCGCACAGCCCCCTGGGAGGAAGGCACCCGGAAGCGGGGCGCGGTTGCCATGGTGACGGCGGGGCCGCCATGTCCTTCAAGCGCGATGGGGACGATCCGGGGCCCCTCGGGGCGTTGCAGGTGGGGCCGCGACCCCTCCCCGGACCTCCCTCGGGGTCCCCCAGAGCACCCAGGGCCAGACCCGGCCGCCCCGCACAACCTCCGGGGTTGCCCTCGTATTGCGGCCTGAGCCCCCCCCCGGGTCCCCTCAGGCCTTCCCTGAACCCCCCTAACTCTTCCCCAGAAACGCCGGGTGTCGGACCTGTTGGCAAACTCCATCCCCGAGGACGAGGCGCTGCTGCTGCGGAGCGGGAGGTGAGAGACCCCAACCCCGAGCCGGGGGGAGCCTCGAGGGGCCTCCCTGCCCTGCGGGGGTGTCCCCACGGTGTCCCCGCGTGTCCCCGTTGCCAGGTTTGCCTGCTCCGTGTGTCCCCACCGGCCCGTGTGTGACACCCTGGAGGCCCTGGCCGTGCACAGGGCGGGCAGGAGGCACCTGCACAGTGAGTGGGGTGGGGGCGGCACCGGGACCCCTCTCACGGCCCCTCCTCTGTCCCCGTGTCCCCTCCCGGTCCCTGAGTCCCCGTGGCTCCTTCTTTCTCCCTTTCCCTGTCCTTTCTCCTGTCTCCTCTGCCCCTGTTCCCTCTTCCCATATCCCCTTCCCTGTCCCTGTGTCCCATTCCCTGTCCCATTCCCTGTCCCCATGTCCCTTTCCCTGTCCCTGTGTCCCATTCCCTGTCCCTTTCCCTGTCCCATTCCCTGTCCCCATGCCCTTTCCCCCCATCCCATCCCTGTTTTCCAGGTCTCCAACGCTCCTACGGCCGGACTCGCTCCCCACTCCCAGCTCCAGAGGCTCCAGGAGAGGCTCCAGGTGTGCAGGTGGGTGTGGCCTCACCTGCCCCACCCGTGGGACCTTCCCCCGTGGGACCCCCTGGGCCACATCCCTTCCCTTCCCTCCCCAGGGATCCCAGGCCCCGCTCCTGGCACGGACACGACGGATCGCCCGGAGCGCCCTCCTGAAATCCACCCCCTACAGCAGCTGCTGCCGCAGGAAAGGGTCGGGAACGCCGGGAATGGTGGGAGAGGGGCTCTGGAATTCCCTGGGAAGGGGCTGGTGGGATGAGGGAAAGCTCTGGGGTTCCCAGGAAAGGGCGAGGGAGGGCTCTGGGATTGCTGGGAAAGGGAGTGGGAAGGGAGGTGGATCTTTGGGATCGCTGGGAAAGGGATTCCTTGAGTGGGGGAGAGCTCTGGGATTCCCATGGTCCTCGCTGCCGTCAGGTGTCGGTGGGACTCATCCCAGATTCCCTGTCCCATCCCAGGGCCCAGGGAAGCACCCCCCGGCTGGTGCCGGAGCCGCTCCGGAACGCGGGAGAATCCCGGGAATCCGCAGCCCTGCCGTTGGAGCACGGCAGTGCGAGGGCAGGTGGGAGCCAGGGGGCACCTCTGGGGCAGGGCCTGGGTCTGTCCCGTTCCAGAGGGTCCCACACCCGCCTCCTTCCCTCCCCAGGCGTTCCGAAGGCTCCCACCCGGAAAGGGAAATCCTGCTCGGCGTGGGACGAGCTGAGCCCGGAGCGGCGCCGCGTCCTGCAGCACCA